GTCCTTTCTACCCATATGAAAAGCTAGCAACGACACTGAAATTCCTAGAAAATACTAGAAAATGTTATCTATCTATATATATAAAGCAAAAGGTAAAGAATGGTGAAACATTCAAAATACCAGAAAATACCCTTGGTTAATTCAAACATTAAGAATTGAAATTATTAATTAAATGACGATAATATGGTAAATTCATATTTTTTTCATATTAAAAAAATTAAAATTAAAAACAAAATCAGATAATATGCCCCATTTTTATGGAACATAACTACCCATATTATATTTTCTTAATTCTAAAAATAAAAAATAAAATAAAATCAGAAAACCAGTTGACACATGTGCAAAGGGGCTAGTTAATAGAATGGAAACTTGGGCAAGGAACTTCTTTTGCGGACATCTACTAAAATTCCGCCTATTGCATGGAATACTATTTAAAACCAAAAGACCTTATAAGTATCTTCCCTAGCTAATAATGCTTTGGTTCGACAAAAAAAAAAAAAAAAAAGAGCTAATAAAGCTTGGTTGGCTTGGATTAAGAAAACTACAATTGGTTAATAATGCTTCCCTAGCTAAATTGGGATGGAAAATTATTCTTCTTTTTATAAAGCAATTGCAAAACCCAATTATATTTGTGAGTCTGGATAAGCATTTTAAAATTTCAACCTATTTTATTTCAGGAAATGAGATGGATAGTTGGGAATGGCTATAATATTAAATTTTGGAATTTCAATTGGGTCTTGTTAAACGAACCCTAAAATTAACTGAGTACACCCTATGATTTAAGTATATCCTAATATTTAAATTAAAATGTAAAATTAACTAAGTACATCATATTTTAACTACCAAAAATACCCATATTTTGAGAGGGAGACCTCTTCCTTCTTTAGTCTCTGTTGTAGTTGGTTTCTAACCTCTTCAGTCGTGTATGCAGTTGATTTCTACCAAAAATACCCTTCATCTTTTCTGGTTAATGGTAATTTAAGCCGTGTCTTCCACTAAAGACAGACCAATGAGGGCTTCAAAGGATTTCTTTTCCTCAGGTAATACGTACCCTTATTCAGTATATATACAGGAAACAATTTAAATTTCTATTAACATTCAGACTATTTCCTTTTCATGTGTATCTATATATATAAAGCAAAAGGGAGAATAGTGAAACATTCAAAATACCAGAAAATGTCATTGGTTAATAAAAACATTAAGAATTAAAATTAGTAATTAAATGAGGATAATATGGTAAAATTCACACTTTTTCATATTAAAAAAATTAAAATTAAAAAAAAAATAGATAATTGATCATATTTTTATGGAACACAACTACCCATTATCATTTTTAATTCTTATTTTTTATTTATTTATAAATTTATAAAAAATGCCTCTCACGAGTGCGGAAGCGCATGCGAAGAGGCTAGTTCATTACTGAAATAAACAGAATTTTAGCTAACAAATGCTAATTAAGGCATTAGTCTAAGTGAGAAGACGGTGAAGCAAGATAGAACCAACAGAAACCACATGATCAAGATCCCAAACCTTCTAAAACCAATAACTAATATGTAGCAAACAAAGATCATTAATTCAATATCCTTAACAAAAAAAAAATATAGCAATATTTTTTATTTATTTATAAATTTATAAAAAATGCCTCTCACGAGTGCGGAAGCGCATGCGAAGAGGCTAGTTCATTACTGAAATAAACAGAATTTTAGCTAACAAATGCTAATTAAGGCATTAGTCTAAGTGAGAAGACGGGTAAGCAAGATAGAACCAACAGAAACCACATGATCAAGATCCCAAACCTTCTAAAACCAATAACTAATATATATTGCCTGTACTGGAACGAAATTGAACTCTACATTCATCAGTTTGTGCAGCAACAAACTGAACCATGATAATTATAT